GGCAGTAAAAATGATCCAAAATCCAGATTTGTGGGACTGTACGGGCTGTGATCGAGCCGCTATATTGGGAAAAATGGGTGGTTTCCTGCTATATTGCAAACTCATACTAAAAGTTCTGAGTTGTCAAGGCAAATTGTTACATTAAAGAACCCTTTAAATTTCTGGCTCTCTTAAGGTGTAGATACATACATATGTAAGTACATAAGCAAATTTTTTTGTTTTCTGCAATTGTCAGAAGGTTCAAAGTTATAAATTTTAATAAGTAATAAGTTACTATTAAAAACTTAAAAGAAAAGACTTACGTTAAAAAAATTACCAAATTGAGAAAAAAATTACCAAATTACCAAACTCCTTCTAAAAAGGAAAAAAATACCAGTTTTGGTAAAAAATTAGCAAAGCGGCAACGCTGGCCATAATCCAATTGTGAGCTGAGAATGTAGACAGTTTCGGATTTTGTCCTGAGTCCCGAAGTATTTTGGTGATAGATACTTATTTTCCGATCACCAGAGGTAGAATGACTTTTTACTTCTTGGGCTGCGGCTGGGCATCTTTTTGAAAAAAATCAAAAGGTCGGACGGCAACGTTGGAGGGCCAAATATCCGATGACAGAATTTTTGAGTAGTCAGATTCTGAAACTCCAAGCTTGAAATTAATGTGCTTAATAGTTTCCAAATCAAAATCCTTCTTGACCAGTTTATAGCACAAAATTGTCTTCTTATCGATAGCTGCATATTTAGCCACATAGCCAATGATGTCATCAGTCCTTACAGTAGGCAAAAACGATGATGAGTGCAGCCATTTGCGGCGAACAACAACTCCCAGCTCCGAGTTCTCATTTGACCCAAATACACACCGCTTATGTCTCTTATGAGTACGCTTCTTATCCATAGCGGACCACTGTGCATTATTTGCTTGCGCATTGTTAGTTGCGTTTTTCGCTTGTGCATTGCTCAACCTAGCATTGTTCGCCAAAGCCGCAGCAGCGGCATACGTAGGCACAGCGTTAGCGGGGCCAGCAGTTAGTGACAGGCAGAAGTACAAGCAGGCGGAAGAGATGAAGCAGAAAAACCGATGTTATTACCAGGAGTAGTTGGCAAGCGAGTAAAAACAACAGCAGTAGAAAAACCGGTATTACTACTAGGAGTAGTTGAAAAACTGGTATTAGTATCAACTACATCAAGAGCCTTATAACCAGTATTTATACCCGGCGCATCAGAAACACAATGCATCTCAGAACTTTTTCGTACTGCCACGGTATTAGAGTCAGCAACAGCATCATTAGATGGCGCAGTGAAAGCTCGCTTTGGCAATTTACCCGGCTGAGCAACAACACTATCACTAGCTTTTGCTTGCGAACGCGTCGTTCTTTTGTTTCCACTAGTAGTAGGAGCCGGCGAAATAGAATTATCATTTGCTGGTTCAATTAATGCGATAAAAATGCTTTTTAATTTTTCCAAATCCGAAATCGCGTTTAAGATTTTATCTTTCAGCCCACAATGGGCCGTACAATTAGTACATAAAGACATTATTGCGAGATAAATGAAAATAAACACAGAGCGATAGAAAACACGACCGAACTATTCTGCAGTCACAATCAGCATTGGAATGTTTAACTTTTTTTTAGGAGAGCTCTTCCTTAAGTTATTTATCAACAAAACCAACAACCACATGATCAAGTGAGTTGCAGCGGAATAGCTGCGCTTGATTGTAGTTGGCTTAGCATGTGAAATAGTGGAAATAAGCAACAAGAATTAACAAGGCGAACTTAGCACAGTGCATAGGCAACTGGCTGAGTCAGTGGGATCGTCGGTTCGAATCCTACTGAAAGAAGTCTGATGAGGAAATGTGGTGATTTCCGAAATAGCTATCACTTCTACCATTTTTTCAAATTATNTATTATTTTTGCTTTTCCACAATAAATTTTCATTAAAAAATGGCCTCAGGCTCAATAAAAATTGTTGAATATAATTATTATAAGGCCATAAAATAACAAAAAACAAATAACTTAAGGACGAGCACACCTAAAAAGTTAAACATTCTAATAATAAAAATATTAACAAAAACCAACAAAACCAACAACCACATGATCAAGTGAATTGCATCGGAATAGCTGCGCTTGATTGTAGTTGGCTTAGCATGTGAAATAGTGGAAATAAGCAGCAATAATTAACAAGGCGAACTTAGCACAGTGCATAGGCAACTCGCTGAGCACAGTATACACAGTAATAAACCTTTTTGAGTACTCCTCGGGGGTAAAATCTGATCAGGGTTGAAAATGAGAAGGAGCATGCATTTTGTTGATTCAGAGTTGTGTACAAAATTACTGTGGTATCAAAGGGAGCAACAACCGTACTATGGCAGAGTGGCGCAAGTCATGAATGTGTAATAGTGCCCGAAACTAATTGTAAAAGTGTAAAAACATTGCAAATTATTGTCTATTATTATAGATACTAGTACAGATAGTTCATAGTTCATAGTTCAGTGTATAATAATTAATATTACACCGTACATGATAATGAACTGTTAAATGCTGAAAACACTTGTAACTTGTAGATCACTCAAACTTGAATTGTGATGTGTGAAATCTGACAACAGATTCGTAATCAGCAACCCCTGAAACCCACTGGAAACGAGTTTCAATCCTTGAAAATGCTTAAACCGATCAGTATCAACGTTTTAATTTTAGTAATTTTTTTTATTTTATCGCCATATTGGATCCGCCATTTTGAATTTTAAAAAATTGACTTCAGACTCGTAATCGGCGAACCCAAAAACTCTCGAGTGCCGGTTTTCGAACAAATCCAATAATTAAAAAAAAAATTTATCCCCATTTTGGATCCGCCATTTTGAATTTTGAAAAACTGACTTCAGATTCCTANTAATTAACAAGGCGAACTTAGCACAGTGCATAGGCAACTCGCTGAGCACAGTATACACAGTAATAAACCTTTTTGAGTACTCCTCGGGGGTAAAATCTGATCAGGGTTGAAAATGAGAAGGAGCATGCATTTTGTTGATTCAGAGTTGTGTACAAAATTACTGTGGTATCAAAGGGAGCAACAACCGTACTATGGCAGAGTGGCGCAAGTCATGAATGTGTAATAGTGCCCGAAACTAATTGTAAAAGTGTAAAAACATTGCAAATTATTGTCTATTATTATAGATACTAGTACAGATAGTTCATAGTTCATAGTTCAGTGTATAATAATTAATATTACACCGTACATGATAATGAACTGTTAAATGCTGAAAACACTTGTAACTTGTAGATCACTCAAACTTGAATTGTGATGTGTGAAATCTGACAACAGATTCGTAATCAGCAACCCCTGAAACCCACTGGAAACGAGTTTCAATCCTTGAAAATGCTTAAACCGATCAGTATCAACGTTTTAATTTTAGTAATTTTTTTTATTTTATCGCCATATTGGATCCGCCATTTTGAATTTTAAAAAATTGACTTCAGACTCGTAATCGGCGAACCCAAAAACTCTCGAGTGCCGGTTTTCGAACAAATCCAATAATTAAAAAAAAAATTTATCCCCATTTTGGATCCGCCATTTTGAATTTTGAAAAACTGACTTCAGATTCCTAATTAGCAACCCCAGAAACCCCCTGATAACAAGTTCCAACCCATGACAACACATAAATCGTTCAGTATCAACGTTTTAATTTTACTAATGTCTTTTCGAGAGAATATTTTCGGGAACTAGGCCCATTCTAACTGTCTAAGACAGGTGTGTAATTAAGGGAATGTTCAACAATAATACCAGAGTAATTATATGTAAAAACCACATTTTTAGCTGCATTTTAACATGTCACAAAAATAAAAAAATTAAGAACATCAGCGTTTTATAAAAAACCGACCAGCGCGACCTCTAAAAAAACTTTTTTTTCAAAATAAAAAAATACGTTTCTCTTTTTTTTATCACAAATAACAATATTCTGATGTAGCGTTTATGAATTTTCAAATAGAGTGTGTTTATGAACCACTCTGCTATATATGTATATTGTATTTTTGTGGAACAAGGATACGCATTAATTTTGAAATTGCCTCCAACTATAAGATAAAGTTTCTAGGGCACATTCAGTATAGATCCGGATCATTGTTGCCACAAAGGAACTTCTCATGGACATAACACTTTCGTTCGGTTATTTAAGGCGGCAAACTACCATCAAACCATAGTCTTACCCGATGAATGTGCCAGCAGTACAAATCGTAAATGTGGATTGTTGGAGAAACTGTTGGACCAAAATGTTTAAATTAAAAATCTAATTTTGGGCGGGACGCAGTTCGCCGGGTCTGCTAGTTATATATAACTACTGGAGAGGAGAGTAGCCAAATAAACAGAAACAGGTGGTATAGTGGATCACGGTTAGTGGGTACGTATGCCACCTGCTTTGCTCTCCTTTTCAGTTCGGCCATTTACTACGTCGCGAAAAAAAATCGACCGTCTTTTAAAAGTACGTATTTACATCGTCGCGAGGAACAAAACAAAATTACATAAAGATGGATATACAAAAAAAAATACAAAAGAAATTCACAGACGTGTAAAAATTGAATATTGCTATTTTGCACAATAGGTATTAATCAATGTTACTAAATTTAATAAAAGCAGACAAAATGTGAATGTGGAACATAAAATAACTTAAGTGTAAAGCGAATGTAGTGCAAACGATAAAGCGTGATAAAATTAAAGTTAACTTAAAATCGAAAATAAATGCAGTGTAAATAATGTGGTGAAAGTAAAAGTATATCTAAAAACTAATTTAAAAATAAATGCAGTGTAAAACAAAAATGTGGCGAATTACGAATTAAACTAACACAAGGCAAAAATTAAAAATAAATGCACATGAAGCAAAATGTGATGAAATAAAAAACAATAAACTTTATAATTCCAAACAAAGTGCCGCGTTAATATCATTAAACTAAAGTAAATCCAAAGAATCAAACGAAGAAATCAAAACGAGAAATTTTACGAACTAAGAACTTAGCTTAAACCAGGTGGGTGCAGGAAATTCAGGTGATGCGGGCGTTCGGGATGATGCGTGTATGCTGCTGCTCATAGATAGGTGAGTTTGAGTGCTGTGATATGCGGTGATTCGATGTTGTGTGTTTGGCGATCTTGCTTAAGCCGGTGCTGTGCATATGTAGCTTTATGTATTTATGTATGTGGTGTTGTTGTGTCATCTGCGACTTGGCTTAGGCCGGTACTGTGTATATGCAGCCGTCTGTATGCATGTGATACTGGGACGGAGATGAGTTTTGGCCTATTACGTTTTTGTATTCTGGCCGTTTTGCTGTGGTTTTAACCGCTGGACGTGGACGCTTTGACACGTGTTGGCCAATTGGCCGTCGGTCTTGTAGCGAAATTCGCCGGTGTAGGCACTTAGCGTTCACACGAATGTCTTAAGCGCGGCTCGGATCGCGACACTGCACCTTTATAAAAATGTCTCTTAAAAGACTTTTTCAGTGTTAAGTACTTTGCTTTTAAATTTAAAAATTGACTTTGTCAACCGATTTGGCGGGTATTAAGATTCGCGCTCGAGCGCTTATTGCATTCTATACTGACTTTCTTCAAAGAGTCTCGATTCACCTTCAGCTCGCTATTTAAGAATTTTCGACGTTTGTTTTGGTTACGGTGATTCTGCGGTTATCCTTTTGTTTACAAGCACACACATCTACACATGCTCAGGTGAGGCAATAGCAAGATCGCAAATCACGACATCGAACAAGTTGTATCGCACCCGCTATTTTGACTTTGGACTTTACGTCTTTATGGTAGCGAGTGGAAAGTTTTTATTTTGTTTATTTATACTGCTTCTACTGTTATCACCAGGGCGAATTTAACCGTATGGGGTGGTTCGAAAAGGGTTGCTTCTTTGATTTAGAATATGCATGCATAGATATACATATGTTCATGCATATATCCACATACATATATGTATGTTAACTGTTTCGCGTTAAATCGGCAGTCGTTACAATTTAGTGATACAAAATCTATTAGAAATGGCTAGTCTTATCTCGGAGAAAATTTTCATGTTGGACTGTGTTGATAATATTGAAAGTTAACTTTTTCTAACCCGAAAAATCTTCAGATAGTGAGCCGATTTCAATGTTTTTCGTTTTAAGTGAGCGACCCAAATACATATAAACTGGGACGCGCCATTTTAGCTGATTAAAAAGTTAAAACATTTTGCTGAAACTTTCATAATTTTTACACAAAGTCTGAATTCCGGATGTTTGTTAAGTAATTAGCATACTTCAAACAGAAATCTTTGTTTTGACACGTTTGGACACGACAACCCAAAATCATTGTACAAATAACCGAACCGTACTCAAACTGTCATACTTTGCATTTTTCTATAAACAAAACTTTTATAAAATGACACTGCAGTGGTTTTTATCTTATGTGGATAATTCTTGTCACAAATTCATAGTTTAGTGCTTATATTTATGTATATATATTTTTCAGCGGCACCACATCTTTATCAGAAATTTCCGAGAATCCAAAAATTGGTACTGTTACAAATTGCAGCGCGTCATTTTAACTCGACTTCCTCCGTCTTCCACGGATAACGGTACATCGTTTATAGGCTTAAAAATATTTTGCTTCAGCAATTTGTCATCAAACTGCATTAGATCGTATCTCTATCCTCGGAAAAACAAAAAACTTTATTTTCGGACCTTTGCTCAGGTGTACCGAATTCTGGCAGTTTGGAAACGCGCAAGACTTTTAATATTTTCATCCCTGATACAAAAGTAGAAGGTAGTTTAATTTATTGACATTCGTTGTTGTTGCCGACCACTTGACTTTTAACAAGTTTATGTTAACTAAAATCATGCTACCAGATTCACTAGCAGTAAAATTTTTGTTTATTGAAAAAGTAAAAAAAGGCGTGGTACTAGGTTCTCATGAAATTTGATGTGTAAACCTATGCGTACGGCAAAGCATAAAAGCACGTTTACATATAAATATAATCTCCATGACAACTCGAGGAAAAGTTAAGTTTCTTCTCTGTGCCACCGTGGTCACTTTTTCCTGCTACACATATTAAGCAATTTAAATATTTTTTAACTTAATATTTTATTACAAATACCTTTACAAACGTCTTTTCCTTGCGTCAATTTTTGTTTGCTTCTCCATGTGACATTCCTCCTCTTCTTCGCAACTATAATCGATAAAACTGGGTTGGACACCAAACAGTTATCGGTTTAATCTGAAATTATTTTATAATTATAATTTTGTATGGCTAGTCTCTTTTTCTAATTACAGATTAAGGAGTTAAGATCGAAAATGAGGATAATCTATTTATATGTAAACTTATTATTAGGCGATTCAGTTACCTACATACACATCCAGGTTTCGTTATAAATTAAACATAAATTTTACTCAATTTTATTCATTTTGCGGATTTAATTTTTTTTATTCATTTTCATTTTTAATTTTTTTAATACTTGAAATTATAGGTATGATTGACAAAATATGATACTTGTATATACTTGTAACTCAAGGGCGCTAAAATATATTGAAAACACCGCATCAATTATTGTTATTGAGCTTGTAGTTTGAGCATTTCTATATGTATATATTCCTGAATTTAGCTTTTCTTTTAGGAATATAATCCGTGTGGTAGGTTTACGTTACAGTCATGAATACATATAACACACCATCTTTTATTTGCAAAACGGGAAGCTAAATTCATTTGTTCGGCATTTCTCTTACTCTCGTTTTCTCTTTGTGCAATCTTGTATTATATCATCCATACCAACGTTTATATACATATATTCTTATATGTTCGTCAGCTATCAACGGACCCAGTTAAAATGATTTCAGTATTTCATTCAACAATTTTTGTTGAGCTCGAGGCCGTTTTTAATGAAAATTTATTGTGGAAAGGCAACAATAATTTTGAAAAAATGATAGAAGTGATAGCTATTTCGGAAATCACCACATTTCCACATCAGACTTCTTTCAGTAGGATTCGAACCGACGATCCCACTGACCCAGCCAGCAGCCTACGCGCTTGTTAATTCTTGTTGCTTATTTCCACTATTTCACATGCTAAGCCAACTACAATCAAGCGCAGCTATTCCGCTGCAATTCACTTGATCATGTGGTTGTTGGTTTTGTTGGGTTTTGTTAATATTTCTATTATTAGAATGTTTAACTTTTTAGGTGTGCTTATTTGGATAAAGAAAAGTTAAGCAAATTCAACATCGATTTGATGCTGATAGAAATCTGGATCAATTTGTGATCAACTCTGTTTGGTTTGTTTCCTAATTAAGTGAGGAAATTTTAATTGACAGCACCGACAAATAAATATATACACAAACAAATGGTCGGTTATGGTTAAAACAATTCAAGTTTTTGTATCGAATTTTTGGTTTAAAATTTATTTTTTCCTTTTCAGTAGGGTTTTTGCACATTATCTTCTGCGTGAGAATTGATCGTAATATATACGCATCTAAATAAGAGACTGGAACACGGCTGTTTGTCAAAGGCATGCGATTTCGAACTCGCGTAAATGTACATTTGCTAAATGCTATAGCATGAACGCTCTTCGAAAACATATGTTCGAAAGTGCTAAATGTTGCATTTTAAATGCAGCAAAAACGCTGCATAAGCTATTTGTTTTTTTTTTATTTTATGGCCTTATAACAATTATGTTCAACAATTTTTATTGAGCTCGAGGCCGTTTTTTAATGAAAATTTATTGTGGAAAAGCAACAATAATTTGAAAAAATGGTAGAAGTGATAGCTATTTCGGAAATCACCAGATTTCCTCATCAGACTCCTTTCAGTAGGATTCGAACCGACGATCCCACTGTCTCAGCCAGTTGCATATGCACTGTGCTAAGTTCACCTTCTTAATTCTTGTTGCTTATTTCTACTATTTCACATGCTAAGCCAACTACAATCAAGCGCAGATATTCCGCTGCAATTCACTTGATTATGTGGTTGTTGGTTTTTGTTAATATTTCTATTATTAGAATGTTTAACTTTTAGGTGTGCTCGTCCTTAAGTTATTTGTTTTTTGTTATTTTTTGGCCTTTTAACAATTATAATGAGCACGAGGCCATTATTTTTTTATTATTATTTTTTTTGAAAATTTATTGTGGAAAAGCAACAATAATTTGACAAAATGGTAGAAGTGATAGCTATTTCGGAAATCACCACATTTCCTCATCAGACTTCTTTCAGTAGG